TTTCTCCTCAATGTTAAATTTACTATATGGAATAAACTCTTCCTCCCCCTCCCCCCTATTTACGTCAATTTATTATCTTCCATTGTTCTTTTAAAATCATTTAGTGAATCAATCCACTATATTTATGTACGTACACATTTAGTGCTATTGTTTTGTTAGTTTCTATAGTCAATTTCAATCAAGAAATTTATTATCCTGTCTAAAATCATTAATATTGAAATAAAAAAGCAAAGAACGAATTAAAAAGTTAATTAATTAAAGGAGAGAGAAAAATGAATGATGAATAAAACTATGTTTTTTGATATATATTATGATTCTATGATTTTATACATAATTTTCAGAAATCTTTATAAACATACCACAATATGATGATAATAACAGTGTACACATATCAGCATTACATTATAAAATACAAATGAGAATGTTTACAAAATTTTTTTAATGTATTATTATTATCTAGAGCTTAGATTCTTAATGTACCATGTATAACTTGAGTAATTGAACGTTAGAACCGTTTAATTTGCAAGTAAAAAGACAGAAGAAGAATGGAGAAAGTGCTTGTTAAGCAAGAATCAAATTGTACAGAAAATCATAGGTATTTATAGATATTACCATTTGTTAAATCAACATTATAATCCAAGTAATCCGCAAATAGGCGTGTTATGTTACAGACCAATAGTATCATGCCATGTTAATATTCTAGAAAGTTCAATTGCATTCTCATTGGATGGAACTCTTTGACTGTTCTAGGGCCTCTGGAAGCTCCGTCGTATTTCTCAATAGCCGTCCCAACATGCATACATAGATCGAATACGCTAACTAGAATCTTTGTGATTTAAACAAAAAAATATATTACATCTTGTTAAATATCCATACTTTAATGAACTTATGTGATTATCCTGATCTATTAAACTTTATAAAAAAATACAAAATAAAATATTTATATCATATCTACACTACTGACTATCAACTAGGCTTATATCTTAATCGTCTAAAAAGCAATAAAAAGGAATACTCTTGTTAATTCAATTCATATAACTTTAAATGATGACTTGGAATGTACAATAATTGATAACTTAACTAAGATTTATTTTATATAAATCTATATGAATGAATAAACAGGTAAGATTATGAGTTAAGGAAAATTTTCGAGCAACAATAAAGTCACTTTGAGAATGTCCATCTAATAACTAGAACTAAATGAAGATTATGAAACAGTGATAGAAATCACAATTATAATTTATAAGTCATGATTAGGGAAAAGAATTAGATTTCCATTTTTCATCACAAACTGACATAAACTAAAATGTCAAAATTTTATTTATCCAAATGAATGAATCAATTTTTGAGCCAAAATCAATGACCTATTTTCTTATATCTGATTGGTTCGTTCATAAATTATAGTCTCGCCAATAAATATCATTACAATAAAAGTCTTTTCAAAAAGAAATGAAATAGTTTAGCTATATTATACATAAAGCCTAGATTAATATTAGTTTTTTTTTGCCATACCTTGCTAATGAACCGAACACCTAATTAATTAACAAAGAAATATTGAAATCATTATACTCATTCTAACTCCTATCATTACTAAAAGACTAATATTTGAACGAAGAATATTCCTTTCGATGAAATTCTCATCAGGTTCTACAATTATATATCCAAATTAATAGTCCAAAAAATGACCAGGTTAAGGGTAAAGTACATCATTTAAACCATGTGAATTTAGGATTGTCAAAGAAATTATAATAAAATTGTTAATGTTGATATGACTTAAATGGAATGTTAACTTGAATCTGCATATATGTTAAATGAGATTTAAGATCCATGATCAAAATAAATAAAGGTCAGGTCTGGTGAAAGAAATAATAATGCAACTACAATTCCATCAAATGTTTAATGAAACGCTATATTGTGTGAAAAATTAATAAGACATAATAAGGAATAATGAATGGGAATTGAATGAATCCTGTATTGGCGAGATTAACAAAGATGTTTAATCAATAGCAATAATAATAATACAAAGAATACAATGAATAAAGATAACAGAGCATATTACATTTGACTACGAAATGTCGTAAGTACGATAGTCGAATTAGGTCATTCAATAGTTAATATCACTATTGATTAATTGGCCTTGAGATGGGCCAGGGGAGGAGGAGTGGTTGAAAACATTTCTTTGTATTCATAGCTCCAGTTTCTTCATCCGGATGGCTACTGCTTTAGTCGTTTGAAGGACTTTTGAGTCTGACATGTTTTGGCAAAATTTGCTGACCCTAAAAATAACTGAAAAGGATTGGTTTATACTAACAGTATGACCAGTTTGTTCTAAATGGGCCAATATCCAGCTGTTCACTTTCTTTACCAGACTTTTGCTTAGCCACACTGGGAGGTGTTCGCTAGCACGAAAATGTAAATGCCTAAACTTCAACCAATATAGCTCGCTTCACGGGAACATTTGAAATGATAAATACTAAATGATGTGATTATTCTAGTTAATCCTTTTTTTAACCTCAGTGTCACTAATGGACGGATAGAAAACACTAATCGTAGTTCTCTGGCGTTAAAAGATTTCTATATTGTTCTGCGTAATCTCTGAGTTACAACAATATTTATCATTGTAATTTTATTAATATTAGAAAATAATTAACCAACAACAGTAATATTGTGTACATGTTTAAAAGATACATACTTATTGGTGACTATTTTCAAAATGTTGAATGAATAATAGAATGTTATAGAATTGGGAGAGGTAATTATCTTCCTTATGTTATTATAAATCTGATTAAATATACTTTTATCTTCCTTCTTTTAACATATCACTGTTGTTAATATGACCGTTTCTAGTAATGATTAGTTATGTTATTCATTTATATTCTGTTTTATTGAAATAATATTAGTTAGCTAAGATAAAGTTAGAAAAGGAGTCAGTTTTCTAGTATAATTTATTTCAGAGAAAATAGTTCTTCACCATAATTGCAACGCAAATTTCATTATCCTTTTCCTTGTATATATATATATATATATATATATATATATATATATATATATATATATATATTCCTGTCTGAAAATTAGTTGACTGTCAAAGAATATCACATGACAATGTTATATTCGTGAAACTGAGTTCTTGCTTTACAATATGTATCTCAACAACAAGAAATGTTGACATGAAAACTAAAAAAAGTCTGTATTTGAAATGATACAAGTTATTAAGCAAATTGATAATTTCGAATAAAATGAGCATTGGATAGATTGTTATAAATAAATAATATAATTGTAATATCCCGATGAGTAGAAAAATATTCTCTAAAGAAGTCGCTTACAATAAGTCACAAAACGTCAGAAAATTTAATTTTTCTACTCATTAGGATGTTACAAATATATTATTTATTAAGCAAATTATCTTCATTGTAATTATGAATAATAATGTTTCAATACTCTGTTAGTATGTGGTTGATATAACTAGTAACCGTTTAAGTCATACTAATTTGAATCAAGGATATATGATACTTGACCGAAAATTAAGTGAATCACTATACATAAACCACAGTGACATATTTTCTAATGATCACCCTGGGAAATGAATCATTTTCGATTTTGATTGAGATCATGAACTGATTGATGTTAGACCGCTATTGAGAACCTGGAAGCACTGGATGGCCGTTTCGTCTTATTTTGAGACTCCTCAGCAGTGCGCACTCATGATCCTGCTTGCGAGATTCGAACCCAGAGCCTTTGGTCTCTCACTAGAGAAGCCGTGACCAGTGGAGCTAATCCGTGTTCGGTAGAGACAGGTATCTACATCAGTACAACGGAAGATGGTTGCACAATTTCGTGAATCGGTTGAGGCTAGACATTAACACCGTTGAACACCGACTCCGTGGCCTAGAGATTAAGCGTTCGCGAGCAAGGCCGAAGATCTAGGGTTCAAATCCTGCGTGGGGGATCGTTGATACGCACTGCTGAATATTACCGTAATGGAACGAAACGGCCGTCCAGTTTTTCCAGGTTTTCAATGGTGGTCTAACTTCAATCGGTTCATGATCTCAATCAAGAACTTATTAATCTTCACAACCCCATACTGATATTTTCAATTTTTCGTTGTATATAATCTACATTTTAGTGAACTGAGATTTAGATAAATACAAAGTCAGAAGAATACGAAACTTATTACAAAACATTTATGATTTTTCATTTCTAATGGTTGAGGACTTGAAATGGTATAACCTTATGTATTACGGATGCATCTACTGAGTGTTATGGTGTGTACAGATAATGATCGCATAATCCAATAAACTGAATATTACGTAATGATCAATCAGAAGGAATATCTTTTTGGTCAAGGCAGAACATTACCATAATTATCCTTTCAGAACATTTAATATTATTTATCACGTTCTCTTCTTTTACAGTATCTCAACTTTAAAGGGATTTCTGGTATAAACTACAAGTTACTATCATTAAACCTTATCAAGAGTAAAACAGTTTTATTAATACAGACCAATAGTTTAATAATTTTTACATATTTCCTTACATTTTGCAAAGTATTCTAGTCAACAAATAGACAGATAATTTAAATGTTATATTGCCCGAATTTTCGGCAGCGTAAAAATTAAAATCAAGTATTTATGTGTGATGTCGGAGATTACTTGTAGCTTATGAAAGGACTGCCTTTTCTATTCATCTCTGAGAACATAACACTTTAGACAGATTCTTTCGATGTTACATTGGTAAATATTAACAAGTCGATCAAATTCGACAGAACTAATTTAACAAAAGATCTCAGTGATTTTGTTAGTCATTATAATTTATGAATAATCTAAAATTGATGCGACAGACATTCACTATTTAACTGATGTATGATCTTTAATCTCAGTGATTCAATGATATTTGAGTGATGATTACACAACTTATCTGATAATTTTGTTTATTTATAAAAAATTTACGTTTTTCTTGACATTTTTATCATTTATCATATTTATCTTTATACATTTCAGGTCCGGCAAAAATAATCGAACCTCCAAGTAATGTAAAAGTAATTAGCGGTGAAACTGCTCTATTCTTCTGTCGAGTAAATGGAAATCCAACTCCTACAGTAAATTTTCTTCTTGATCGTCAAGTAAGCCGACCAGCACCTGGTGTAGGTGGCGTTTTGAATATTCCAGATGGGAGTTTATTGCGTTTAACTAAAGTACATCGAGGACAAAATGGTTTACAAGTTCAGTGTATAACACGTAATCATGTTGGAGGTGATAGTGCGTCAGCGTATTTAACAGTTTATGATACTAATGATCGTAAGTGAATTTAATGAAAATCTTAACCTGCTTTCATTTAGTTTTTTATTCTTGAACACAATCTTTTTCTTCCTACTTTTATTACTGATACATAGTAAATTATTCTCTGTAGTTTACCATCAGATTTCGATAAAATACCATAAATAATCTTTGGGAAGATTATGACAATTCATCTTGAAAATTGACTAACATTTGAAAACAACCCTAACTATTATTTTCACTGATGTCATTTAATATACGTCATATTCAGTTAAAAATTTACTAGCGAGACAATAATTTATAGATGAATCAATCAGGTATAACATAACAGGTCATCGATTTTGGCTCAAAAATTGATTCATTCATTTGGATAAATAGAATTTTGACATTTCAGTTGATATCAGTTTGTGATGAAAAATGTAAATCTAATTCTTTTCACTAATCATGACTTATAAATTATAATTGTGATTTCTACCACTGTTTCATAATCTTCATTTAGTTCTAGTTATTAGGTGGACATTCTCAAGGTGACTTTATTGTCACTCAAAGGTCGCCCTTACATTGTAGTCTCACCAAGTTGCCTTAAAACTTAATAAGATGGATTATAGTCACATGTTTATCCAATGGAATAAGGGTTTTCATGATAAACTATCGTCAAAGGAAGACTCAGTGCAAGCTATTAATCAATGGACAAATATTTTATCCCAGGTTAGGACACTGGCTGTGCTCAATCTCCATTATGCTAGAAAACGAAACCCAAAACTTCAGATTTCGAGATTTCAATGTTACCTTTAAATCACTGAGTTAAATTCTGAAGGTCCATATTTTGAATATCTATCAGCTGTTGTTGTGACTTGATTGAACTTTTCTAAGTATGTACAGCTGTTTAGAACATATACTTTGTTTTAACTAGTTTCTGAATATTAGCTAGAAGTCAGCAAACAAATTTAGTATAATATATTGCAGATATATCAAATGTAAGACATCTAATCAGAAGTAGACTTTTCATATGCTACATTCTCATTTCCATTGTTTGAACACAGTATTTTCATAGAAGTGTGGGATTTTCTGTGAGATTCAACATATCTATGTTGTTAGAATATGTCATCATGGTAATTGATATATTTTATATCATACAATCTTTTCAAATCTGATATCAGATTGTGATCGATCGTTTCATCATATTAAAAATCCCATTCGGTTCATATACATTGTTATCATTCCTGTTTGAAGATTTTATGTTTAAAGGCGTGTTATGTCTTCTGGAACTGACATTATTCGCTATCTTTATTCTCCATAACCCCAGTAGACATTAATAAGCGAAGACAAAGAAGAAATAAGGGTTGATTTAATGAATCTCTAACAGAAGTCCTTTTGTAATATTTTGAAATAATATTTTTTATTTGCTTTAGAAGTTGTCTTATTTCACTAACAAAAGAAATAAAAATGTACACATCCACAAAAATGGTATTATTGATATCGAAAAAAGTAGTCTGCCCGTGACTGGTCGTTGTTGTAATGAACAAGGAGCACCTGAGTGTTATTTTTTTATAGCATGGTAATTCACAATATAGCAAATTGGTTGAATCTAGCAATGTAAGTCATCGGGTGCCGGCTCAGCGATTCAAAGGTTAGGGCTCTAGGTTCAACCCCTTCTAATTCATAGATGCTCAGTGCCCGAGACTCCCATATTAGAATGAAATAGCTGTCTATTGACTCCTGGGTTTCATTCGCTTTCTATCTAAAATCTGTGATAAACACCAACTGTGACATTTAACAATCTGAACAACACCCTATAAGAGAAACAAATAGTAAAGCAAAATGTCAAGATAATCGATCAAACGTCATGGTTCCGAATGTTTTAAAGAAATTTTTAAACTTCCAATGACTACTCACCTGAGATTTTTCTAAATTAACGAACTTTCATGATAAAAATGCTCAGTTACTGAGTGATTTCATTGATAAGAATACATAACGACGATATGAAAAATAGATTTTTCGATTCTAAAGCAGTGATGTGATGTAATTTTACAAAACATTAGATTTCATTAAGTTCACAATGAATTTCATTGCTATGAAATTCTTTCATTCAAAATTAAATTTGATTAAGCCCATGTATATTTATTATGTAAACCATAAATCATTTTTCAAACACACAGGGAACTTTCAATTGATTTAATGTTATTACACTAAATAATTGAGTTTTCATAATGGTTAATTTATTGTCAATAAATCAAATTAAAACGCTTTTTATTCTACACAATACTGCTATTTTTTTTTAAAAAAAAATGTGAGGAAAAACAAAACAATGAGATATATGTTTTTCACTTTTCTACTCAAAGTCTAAACATATCTATTGTTGTAAATGACAAAAAATCAATTAATTTTACTGTGTTATAAATTACCCAAGACAGAGTTGAGCGGCCTATGCTGCTCCATGAGGAGTAACAGGCGTAAGTCAGTAAGTAAGTAAGTAAGTAAGTAAGTAAGTGTTATAAATAAATACACATATCATTTATTACTTTAAATGCTTTAAAGCAATACCTTGTTTTATTAACTATTCTCTTTGAAATCCAATATCCTACCTAATTTCAGAATAATAATTGATTTGAATGGTAGAAAGTTTGATAATAATTGCTTCAAAACTGATCATTTTACTCTTATTTTCTTTTTGCCAAAATTATACTAATTACAGACTCATTATATATATATATATATATATATATATATATATATATATAATGCAGCATTTATTAAACGGTGAAATTTCCCTGAAAACTTTAGTGATTACAAATATAATTTGTAAATGAAAATAATTTTAAAAGTCAAATAACTAAGTTTATTGTTTTTAGTATCGGAAGAGGTTTTGTGGAGATTGTAGCAATTTCAATAGTTGAGATCATGAGACAGTTGAAGCTAGAACACCATAGAAAGTTTGAAAGCACTGGACAGCCGTTTCGTCCTATTGTGGGACTCCTCAACAGTGCGCATCCGGCTCAGTAGTCTAGCTAGTTAAGCGCATGGCAGGAGACTGACAGGTCCTGGGTTCGAATCTCGTGAGGCGGGGTCGTGAATGTGCACTGCTGAGGAGTCCCATAATAGGACGAAACGGCTGTCCAGTGCTTCCAGGTTTTCTATGGCGGTCTACCTCCAACTGACTCATAATCTCAACTATTGAAATTTTTTCTTTTTCTTTTTTGGCTATTGAATAAATAGAGTAATAATTTAAATCAAAAAAATATAATCGTTACAATTAAGTACATATATGAAAAAAGTACTTTCAAATGTACTATAAATGTAATTTTTATTTTTGATAATCATTAAAATCAAAGTATTCAGCCATATTATTATTATTAATCCTTTTCGGGTTTTTTTCTAAAAAAAATGTATAAAAACACTGACAGATGGTGAAAGAGGAAACGTTATCACAAAGATCAGGTCCCTTTTATTTAACGTTAAGTCATATGAACAAGTAGTGATAATATGGTATTATTGATTATTACTCGTTCCATAATTCATTTTTTCCAGAATAAAACGCAGAAATGAATCAGTAATAACGATAATAATAATAATAATAACAATAATTAAACTTAAAGTATATTTTGATTGAGATCATGAACCGATTGATGTTAGATCACCATTGAAAATCTGGAAGCAGTGGACGTCCGTTTCGTTCTATTGTGGGACTCCTCATGATCTCAATCAAAAACCTAATAAGCTCCACAACCCCTATACTGTTAAAGTATATCATCTAAAAATACAATTATGATGTTTGGTACTGTGTAATCGATATGTGTAAAATAATTCAGTATAGATTCACTTGATATTGTCTATTTTAAATAAGAAAGAAAGATTAGTTCAGCGAAGAGTTCTCTTTTCGGCGAATTCATTTTCAAAGCTGTACAATCGCAAATATATCTACTTATTTTTACAGGGTGATAATAATACTGATAATAAACTTATGTTATACATGGTGACGGTGAGGTTAAATAAACAAAGGTATTAGAAAATTTTTTTTTAAAACAAGGAAAGTTTGATAGTTAATGGCTTAGATATTCATCGGGTAAGGGTAGCTCAGCATGATAAAATAACATAAAATGTTGAAACAGAGATGAAATGTAATCGGAATGATCGTGGAAATAAAAACAAACCGGTTGGGGGTACAAGATTTGAAGCGAAGATGGAAGGTGAAGCAGGTAGCTGTAAAAGAACAAGAGTATGAAGAAAGAGAAAAATTTTATTAATACCTTAAGACCATGGTAAAAGAAGAGGTTGTACCAGTCTCTTTTGTACACATAATTCTGGTTTTTCAAAATGTATGGCTATTGCCTCGGCGATGCAAAGAAGATGCAGTCTAATTGTCTTAGGAAGGCTTCTATTTTACTTTAAAGGTGTTATAAGCAAAGATGGATGGTGGCTAGCAGTGGGATCTAGGACGCACGTTTCGTTCTATTTGAGACTCGTTAGTTGAATGTACCTACATCTCGGAATGAACATCAATTCTGAGATGTAGGCAGATTCAGCTGATGAGTACCAAAATAGGACAAAACGCGCGTTTTGAATTCTACTGCTAGTCATTATCCATCATTGTATATAATTCTATTTAAAGCAATTTATCTATTAAGTTAAAAAAAAATCAAACATAATAATGATAAACCTAAATGATGAAAATTATTTATATTGATGTTAGAAAATCTCTTGTTGAAGACTAAATTCTATGAGCATATTTATATGTGTGTGCGTGTTAGATAAGACTGTTTTTGTTTTTAAAAAAAATCTAGACGGTTCACTATGAGAACATACTTATCTATTAAATGTGTAATATTTAATTAATTGACCAGATCATGTATGATTGTATAAAATAGTTTGGTAAAGTGACTGATGTTTATATTTACCAAATAAAAATAAACTCTTAGTTAATTGACAGATAATTTCCATTAAAATATTAAAAATTAAAAACACGAAGTTCAGCGAAGGGATCTCTCTTCAATGAATTTATTATCAAGCTGTACGACCATAAATATGTGGATACGGGAACATATCTCAGTTTGTTTCTACAAGGGTTAGAGGGAAACAGTTAGGAATTCTATACTTGAACACTTAATCCACTGCAATCATTCCACGGATTCACAATTTGACTCTAAGGTTGTACACATGATTCGTTCAAACCTACCTAGATTTATTCGTATTCAACTTGTAAAAATAGCCGAAGCTCTTACAATCCATGAGATCAAACCAGAACTATGCATACAAAAGAAGTACGTCCTATCATTATCGTTACCTTGGCCTTAATTTATCTTATTATTATTACTGCATTCCTCTTTACTTGTGTATTATATTCTAATTATTCTGTTTATAAATGCTCATCATATCACCTTATTTATTTTTACACCTCTATGACCTTTAATTATTATCAGAAGGAGTTTGTGGAGATTTTAGAAATTTCACAGGTTGAAATCATGAATTAGTTGAAGCTAGAACACCATGGAAAACCTGGAAGCACTGGAAGGCGGCTTCGTCCTAGCATGGAACTCCTCAGCGGTGCGCATCCACGATCCCACACCCCACGAGATTCGAACCCAGGACCTATCGCGCCAGGCGCTTAACCAACTAGACCACTGAGCCGGTGCTTCCAGGTTTTCCATGGTAGTCTAGCTTCAATAGACTCATGATTTCAACAAGTGATATACATTATTTATTTATTTGTTTGAACACATAAATATTGATACAAAGGAGTACCAACTACATGTGTTCTATATATGTCACTTGATTTGTGTGTGGGCTATAATACTGCCCGGGTGCTCACTAAATAATACTCCTAAACCATAAATATATATTTATTATTAATGACTTAATAACTTCACTGAGAGAATGCTACTTTGGAATTTATGAATAGATCTTATAAATTTACAGACACAACGTCACGATTATTTAAATAATTAAAGATGATAACTTTTATTCATCTTTAGAAGTTTACGTAACCTGTTTGTAGTATTTGAAATTTCTAAACAATTTCTAACTTAATCTCTTACTATTTTTCAATGAACCATTTATAATTTATCAAAGCATTTTAAACAAAGAAACATTTATGAAACTTTATTTTAATTGAAATTAATTTGATATATTTATGATTATTGTAGGTATACCTGATGGTTATCCAATTATACATGTACCACCAAAAGCTAGTTCTGCATCTGTTGGTGATGTGGCCAGAATGGATTGTGAAGTATCTGGTCATCCACAGCCTACAGTAGTTTGGTTAAAAAATGAAATTCCTATTCAAACAACCGATAAACGTATTACATTTGTTGGTAAGTAGAATTAAATAAATGTTATATCATGAAATCATAATAATTACAGTGATTAGTTTGTTTGATTATTCAATTCATTGATATACTATTCAAAAAGCAATAATTTTTTAAAGAAATTTTTCATGCTATTCCTAGGTGAGCATTCCTAAGATCATGATTAGTTATTCAGGTAATAATATATCCAATATTCAGATAATTAAAAACATATGAATAGCATGTATAGTGATAACCAGATCTGTTCACCATTAATTAAGTACAAAAGTTGCAAGCATTCTAATTTTTCTTATTTTGTACTTAATGCCAATGATGTACCAGCACTTAAATGTAACATTATACATAACCAAATGTTTTTGCAGTCATTTATAGACATTTGACAATAGAAATAAAGTTTCTAATGAAAGGATATTAAAAAGGCTAGGAAATTGTGTCCTAAATATACATCACAATTTAATGTCGTATATGACACAATAATAAAGTAAATTGTTATGCTGTTACCCAGACATTTGATGCAAATATATTAATTCATGTTTATAAATTCTAAATTTTACATAATATATTAGGTTTTATCTAAAACAATTCTACTAAACAGTCTAATGACTGGAGACAAAATTACCAGGAAAAGGCTTGACACGTAATGTCTTAACAGAATATTTACTTACTTACTTACTTACACCTGTTACTGCCAGTAGAGCATAACCGCCGATCAGTATTCTCCAACTCACTCCGTCCTGGGCCTTCCTTTCTAGTTCTATCCAATTGTTGTTATTTCTTCTCATGTATGTCTTCATTTCTCGATGGAATGTATACTTTGGTCTTTCTCTTCTCCTTTGGCCTTGGGGACTCCATGTGAGGGCTTGTCTTGTGACACAGTTGGGTGCTTTCCTCAATGTGTGTCCCATCCACTTCCAGTGCTTCTTCCTGATTTATTCCTTCGCTGCAATCTGGTTTGTTCTCTCCCATAGTAGGTTGTTGCTGATATTGTCTGGCCAACGGATCTGAAGTATTTAATGTAGACAGCTAATAATAAACACTTATATCTTTTGGATGATTGATTTCGTAGTTCTCCAAGTTTCTGCCTCATATAATAGAACTATCATGACATTTGTATCGAAAATTCTGACTGTGATGTACTTTTGTGTATTCTTGTAAAGTAAGAGACTAACTTAATCAACTCCTCATTTCTGCAGCAGTTTGGAAAACTCTCCCGGTTTCCCACATTGTACGAGCATCCCATGTACCTAAATAAATGGTTGCTCTGGTTGTCAGAAGGGGCATTGGCCTCGTTACTTCCGAAGGAACTTGGCTTTCATCATGGGGCGTCATTGTTCTTCTAAATGAAGACTTTCTGACTCCCAGGGTAGAGTTTAAAAGGTTCGAATAATTTTTTTTCTGGTGAGTGTTTGTTTAACAAGTTAGTTTTCTGCGGGATGGGGTCGCTAATCCCATGTCTAACCCTCCTCCTTTATTCGGGCTTGGGACTGACAGAAGCCTCCGGAGGGACTCCAGGCGGAGTTAACTTAATCAACAACCATATATTTTCACTCTGTTTTATTCGATCATGAGAAATTGAAGAAATTCCTAAATTTTCTTTTATTTGGAAAAAAAAATATGTAACTGAGTAAAAAATGAATTTATATTCATTAAAATGTCTCCATATAACTGGAAAACGTTAACATAATAGCCTTTGTCTGTTTTTTTTTCATATTATAATATGAAACTTATTTTAAAGTGAGGAGAAAAAACCAAATTAGTGAAATGGTAATGCTTTTAAGGTGTAGACTTTTATTATTTTTAAATTTAACTAAATCATAGAATAGTTTATTACTAAATGAAAATTAATCACATGGTATCGGATTTTGAAGTTGAAAAGGTAGGATGTTAAATAATAACAATAATAGTTAGGTGATTTCAACAGAATAGTATAATATTGAGTATAGGGTTGTGGTGTTTGTTGAGTTTGACTAAAATCATGATCCGGTCTGTGTTAAACCATGACTGAAAATTTGTAAGCATTGAATGCCTGTCTTACCGTATTATGGGACGCTACTATGGCAGTATGGATCTATCATCACGTGCGCGGTAATTGAAAACAAAGATCATCGGTTTCATATATGTTTAACCTCCAGAGAAAGGTATAATAAACTTACTCTGCAAAATGTTGTTAGTTAAACATTTTTTGTCTATAAGTGACAGATATCAACAATAAACCTGATAAATATCACATCTCATGTTGAATGTACTATTTGGAGTGAACATCATTTTGGTTATACTTCATTTTTGTGGCAAATTCTGTTCGTAACTGTAATAAATAAAACTTCATCTTGTACTGGTGACTATGAATTCTAAGAACAAAATTTCTAATTTAATCATAAATATCATAATAGTCATTGGTGTAGTTTTCATTATTCAAAATTACTTTTAACTTTCATTGTTACGTTTGATTAATTATTCAATTATTTAGAAAGTCTACATATAGAATATTTAAATAGATTCTAACTATTCTTCGAGTAATATTCATAACCTATATGAATCATCTTCCTATCAGTAATTTTAGTAATTTCATCTAAATTATAATCGAGTTTTCATTATTTTGAAGAAAAAAAATGTTTCTGTAATCACTAAGTTACGAACAGAAGTTAAAGTCATACATCAAATAATATTTATGTGTGTAATTATTCATCATATTTACGGAGATTAATTTGAACAGGATCATTCATTTAACATAAATGAGATTCAAAGATTCAATTATTGATCATGTAAATGTTGAAAATTTCACATCACCATAATGTTTCACTACATTCAATTAAAGGGGTTTATTAACGTGAATAGTTAAAAGATATCACAATAAAATTTTGAATAACATATTAATAATTTTGACTCCTAATTATTTTATTAACATTCTCACTGACTTCATTTTCTAAAGGAATGAGGCTTAGAACTTTTATGAAAAAGGTTACCTATACTTAAATAAATGAGAATATTTTAGATTCATTAGTATATTCCTGTCCTATGATTATTTAAAATGTATTTATTCATATATTTTGATATTTGCACATTAATAACAAGCAACCTAGATTCATTGTTTTAATTATTTTCACATATTCAGGGATATGTCTTCTTTCATATTTTCCTAATATCATGTTGTTAACTATGTATTATATTTCTGCAAAATATATAGTAAGATTCATTTTTCAGTAGTATTCGCTTAGGAATAAATCTGTAACTTACATCCACACTATATTTTAGTAATAAAATGTGGAATTATCTCCATCAGCTTTCATTCGGCTTAATTTGATAAACTTATGAAGATATATATATTCAGCGTTGTATTTATTAAGACTGATCAATCAATTAACCTTTTCAAATGATGTAGAGAGTGTCAAATTGATTTATTTTTCCTATTTTCATAATAAATCAATGTTACACAACATCGTAAAAAATAATTTTTAAAGAATACAATCCATTTCAAGTACGTAATAAACCGTTGACATCAATCTTCAATCTATAAAATAAATAATTAAAAAAAATTTCCAACAAGTGAAACTAATTCATCGTATCGTTTTGTAACTTCCCTTTTTTCTTTAAATAAATAAAAAGAATAAAATAAAATAGAAATATCAGTTTAAGGGTTGCGGAGATTGTTAAGTTTTTGATTGAGATCATGAACCGCTTGATGTTAGACCACCATTGAAAACCTGGAAGCATTGAACCGCCGTTTCATTCTATTGTGGGATTCCTCAGCAGTGCTCATTCACGATCCCGCTCGGGGGATTCGAAACAAAAATAGTAATTCAAAAAAAAACCTATAAAAATAAAACTACTTTCTCAAATATTTTCAATGTGTTACCTAAACAGATCTATCAGTCAGTCAGTCAGTCAGTTACAACGTAAGACCAAGCCTGTACATGCATCGGTCCTCTAAAAGCGTCTGATAGCACTCAACACAGATTTATATATATTTTGTAATTCTATTTTTTATTATAAATAAATACCTCAAAATGTATAAAGAACAAAAATTATACAAACGAAAAATAGAAAAAAAGAATGACATACAGAATAAATCGGAAGTTAATGTATTCTTTTCTCTTTTTTTTCTTTTTTTCTTATTTTTTTTATCAACTTCTCACTTTTGAAGTAATTTATATTTTGTTTAAAAAGTTCAATTAGAGATATCAGATTAATAATCTTACATTTTGATTGTTTTTTTTTATTTTTTTGTTTTTTTTTTAAATTTTTTTCTTTACGCGCTCTTTTCTTACACATTGAATGTTTTTGTTTTTAAAAAAAACAAACAAACAAACATTGAAATTAGATTTGAATATTAAATTTATAAAGTAAATGAATTAATGAAATATTAATGGATTTCATATACAAATTTATTAAGAGGTCATTTGAAAAAAAGTTTTATTTATTATTTAAATATTCTGTAATATGCGTGTTACACTATTATCTGTAATTTTGATCATTTGTATCGTTTTTTTTGTTGTTTTTTTTAATAGCTGAATTATGTCAAGAGGAAGTTGAATGTTTTATTCTATCTCTATGATTTAATTGTAAATCATACCTTAACACAGTTTAATGACCTATTCATTTGATATATTTATAGTCATCAGTATAATAGATAACATTGATAAACTATAGAGATTATAGTCAAGTTCATTGTTATTTTGTTTTGCTTTTTTTTGTTTTATTTTTGCCTTTCTTTTAATAGAATTTTACTGTGTAAGATAATTAATAGACATTCATCTTGAATTTAAGTTAGTTACTTATAAAGAAGTTACCTAGTACGATATTATAGAATACTAAAAAATCTACTCAAATATGAATTTTTGTGATTATCGTTAACTAACAGTAACTGTAACTAAATGATTTGTGAAAAAACGCGGAGATATATATTTAGCTTTCATTCATCTGATAATGTAACTAGGTGATATTACAACTAAACATAGCATTTGGTCAATAACAGTGGAAATAAGATCTAAGTTTCATTATAAAGTTTACAGAAAACAATTTAAAACAGTTTGTTTGAATTGTACTTACTTACTTACTTACTTACTCACTTACTTATTTACTTACTTACTTACTTACACCTGTTACCCTTCGTGGAGAAGCATGAGCTACTAACCACCACTCTCTATCGAACTCTGTCCTGGGCAATCTTATCCAGTTGCTTCCAATTGTTATTCATTCGTTTCATATCTGACTCCAATTCTCGACGCCGTGTTCTTTGGCCTTCTTCTTTTCCGCTTCCCTTCAGGATTCCAAGTTAGGGCTTGTCTCGTGATGCAGTTAAGTTATTTCCGTAATGTATGCCCTATCTACCTCGAAAGTCTTTTCCTAATTTTCTCTTCAGCTAGAAGCTGATTTGTTCTCTCTCACAAAATGCTGTTGCTGATGTCATCTGGCCAATGGATGTTGAGTATCTTGCGTAGACAACTATTTATAAGTACTTGTACCTTTTTGATGGTGATTGTTGTACTTCTCCAAGTTTCAGCTCCATACAGTAAAACTAACTGTCTTGACGTTCGTATCGAAGATTCTGACTTTGATATTGCTTGAAAGTTGTTTTGAATTCCATATGTTCTCCAATTGTAGGAATGCGGCCCTTGCTTTGCCCATCCTTACCTCTACGTCTGCATCAGATCTTCCTTTTTCATTGATGATGCTATCCAGTTAAGTGAAAATTTCCACCCCTTCCACCCTTTCCACCCCTCCATCAGATGTGATTTTTTTAGAATCTACCATTAAATAAAAATAAACTATTGCCATTTGCTGATAAATTAAAATAACTTAGCTCACTAAAAGCAATCCGCTTTTTATGGTCGCGTATTGAATTATTTTCTTTTGGCTTTTTGAAATGTAATGGAAGTCTGTTTGTTTGTTTTCGTTGTTTTTTCCTAATAAAAAGTGATTAAAATTCGTGAAAAGATATTCAATGATGTACACTCGTTTAACAATGGTTTTCATTAAATTAGTGTCATTGTTCCATAAATATTACACGTACCTTGGTTTATTCTCTTCTTAAATTATATTTCATAGGATTTCTTGGATAATCATATAAAGATGTAGTTTATCTTAGAGTGATTACTGAAATAACTTTCTTTAAACAAAGATCAATTCCATAACGGACAAACGGAGAAATTAGAAATCAAAACAACTAATAATATCAGTCAAAATAATTTATAATACTTTTCAATAAAGATTACTATATGGGTTTATATCGTTGTTGAAGAAGAAACAGAAGATAGTTTATCAAAAAGCAGCCAAAGAATAGTTGTGTTGAGACAATTTTGTTTTACACTACTGAAAAGCTGATCAGTCGAAAATTATGGTTGTTCTATAGTCTTTTTTTCAACAGAGCAGAAAACAACAACCTCATAAAGAGCAAAATAAGGGTCAGTTTTCCTCTTACTCTAGTCAGAAATGAATATTCATTGGAGTGCATAAATGAGATTGATAAACATTCATTTTAACTAACTGATTACTGAGTTGTAATCAACGTTATGTTTATTGAGTGCTAAAAGCTGGTCAAATCTGTTCATTGGCCTGACTAAGTAGATCGCATTCACTTTTTTCGGATTTTAGATCGTTGTAGGAGATGTGCATGAAGTAATGAACCGACGTCAAAAACCTTTCGGTGCTTGTTAGTATGGTGTTTCTGAATACCTAAAGGAACCAGTATACTCTGCGAAAAAACCCGTGTTACAGGTTGTTATTAGTTCTTTGAACACTAGAGATACATGCTTTAGAAATTGCAAACCAACAGACAAATCTATCTCTACGGTGTTCTAAGGATTTAACTAGGATGAATTTAAAATATCCCTTAAAATTTAATTCATAATTTAGATCATTACGAGCACAATAACAAGTTATCAATGAATGCATTATCAAAATTACCCCTGATTCTATTCTTTAGTTTCTCTTTTTAAGTCTATTATGAATCCAATCATTTAAACATGAAAACGTGTTTTCAACATCACAAAAATTCATTTTCATCTCCTTATTTGATTAGACATGGAAAATTAGCCTTACATAGCCATTCATACTAATAATATGATAAAACCAGAATTACACAAGGGTTGATAAAAAATACAAGCATTATATTAATTTCATAATTTAGATTTATGTTAATGTTATACTCATAAATCTTGCCGGGTAAACAATTTCATGTTTAGCCTCTTTTTCTTATAGATGTTTTCTTACATACCTTTTATGTATAAAACATTTACCATCTTTTAGGAAGCATTTATATATATATATATATATATATATATATATAATGTAACTATGTATACAAATAAAATATGACAAAAAAAGCCTGTTTAATATCTAGCTATACATGATTAAGTTTCACCACAGAGATAGTTTCTTTTATTGAAAGAAATTATATATAACAAAGTTTTAAAACTTTGCATTTTGCCGACATACGTCACATTCTTGTTCTAATGATTTGTTACATAGATATTAGCAACAATAGATACGGTCTATGAATTGTCTGGCTTCCGGATTTCGTCTGAATGTTATATATATATATATATATATATATATATATATATATATATATATATATATATATGCGTCATGAAAATTGTAATTTGTGGTGTCTGATGAAGAGTCATGATTACAAGAAATGGAATATGTATTACAATTCATCTAAACAGAATAGCTATTTTTTGGTGGGACTGAATTTTTATTTTCATAACTTCCTAGTGTCTAAAAGTAGGTTTGTAATGTTATTGCCTCCGGTGCCAGTTCATTAAACAGGTTCACAAAGGATATTCATCTGTACTATATATATATATATATATATATATATAAATTACAATAAAAACTTCCATGGTGTCCGTGAAGTACACTTTAATCACTCTTAACATTTTTGCTGAAAATCTGGACTATTTAAACTTACTCTTCACAATCTTTTGTTGCCTATTACACGTATAAACAGTGCATATAAATCAATATTTAGAGCACACGTAATATAGAAACATAGATGTTTGTTCAAGTCATCCCTTGAGTAATTATTCACTTTTTAAAATGAGTCGTACTAGACTTTTCATGAGAGAAATTAATTGTACATTCTGATCTGTGATGCAATCAAGATAAGCACCAGATGTAATGAACTGTTTTTCATTGAGAACATGAACCAATTGATGTTAGACCACCTTTGGAAACTTGGAAGCACTGGACGGCCGTTTCGTCCTATTGTGAGACTCCTCTGCAGTGCGCATTCACGATCCCGCGAGCGGGATTCGAACCCAGGGCCTTCGGTCTCACACGCGAACGTTTGACCTACTGGACCACTGAGCCGGCACCCAATGCTGATAGTGTCTAACATCAACCAATCCACGAAATTGAGCGACCATCTTCCGTTGTACTGAGGTAGATACCTGTCTCTACCCGACATTGATTAGCTCCACCGGTCACGGTTTCTCACTAGAACTCCGAGAATTCTTTTCTAGGTTCCGAAAGGTGGTGGTCTAACATCAATCAGTTCATGATCTCAATCAAAAACTTAATAATCTCCACAACCTCTATAGTAGTAAGTGTTTTTCTTAGATTATTTCTGTAATAATTTGTATTAAGTTTCATAATCTTTAACGTACTTTGAAATGAGTCTAGCTTTATTTTATTTTAGAAAACAGGATTTTAAAATTCAGCAAACTTAATTTTGAGTGCTTTATTTTTGTAAGTAATATTGAATAATGAAGTTAAAACCTCTCAATGTTTATGTCTTCTTATTGATCAAGTTGTTTTTCGACAATTGTGACACCATCTACTTACAACGTCATAATATCGATCAAACGGTTACTCTGATACATTACAATAATTCAATAGTTATATCAGGAAAAAACTTATTTTGAAGGGGTTAGGTTAAATTTAAAGCGTATACAAGCTGCTTTTAACAAGTCAACTTAGATTTACAAAAGTTATAAAGTTTAATGTAGTATTCCTATTCTTATAAAGAAAGAAATATATCATTTCTATTTTCCATTATACTTCATAAGTTGAACTATGGGAATTCTAAGGTAGATGTAACTTTTTAACTTTGCTTTCACAAAATGAATAATGTAAAATGTAACCACTAGATATATATTACTAACAGAAGTATGTTTCATGCATATTGTATAAATGAAGTCCATAATCTACATGTTAACTTAATAATAAATAACATTTATCCAACAAAATGTTTGATTATTGACAATTCAGCTTGACTTCTATAAACACTAATATTATTCTATCATTTAGATATAAACAAACGTTGAATGACAATAGATGAAGGGAATATGTAATATTCTTCTTTTTAATGTTACTATTATTATTATTGATTTACTGTTTTCTACAGAGCATTTTTTTGTAATTTTCTTTTACTTTGAAGGAACTGGTTCAATATTATTTGAACATCTATTATTATCAGATGAAGGACATTATGAATGTTTAGTTTCTAATCAAGCTGGATCAGTATTAAGTTCAAAAGCTTATTTAAGAGTTAAAAGTAAGTTTTATATCATTAATAATTGTTCAACTTACAAGTTGATAGTAATGTTAATCGTATATATTTAGTTAAGATGTTATTCATTCATTGACTTGATCACCTTTGAATAAAACGTAGAAGAAATTCTAAACGATGTTATTTATTAGATGATTTACTTTATTCTAGTTTATTAAAGTAGCATAATGTATGTCATTTTAACTTTATATGTAAAAGAAAAGTGTATTCCTCTTTACTTTAGCTACTAAGTGTCATTTAATGATATCGGATATCAGTGATAAGTTATACTTGCCGTATTGATTTGCTAATGGGTAATCCCTAAGACTGTCGACTTCATTCTTTTTTAGTCAAAGATTGACAAGTATTCAATTCAGGGAGAAAGTAATGATGAACACATTTAGATATATTTTACTTGGAATTCAAATCAAACGCAGAATAATCTACAAAGTGATCATGATTACATACCAACTTCACAGAATCTTTTGATGATGAACGTTAGTGAAAATTAATGATTAATTTGTAGTATGAAATCAAATGATATTCATAAAAAGAAATTAAGCTTAAAAATGTCTGCTAGTGCATTCAATTATTGGGTCAATGATCGTTATAATAACATTTTAGTGATAAATAATAATCAATCTAAACTTTAGCATCATCAATTCGATTTCTTTAAGTCAATTCTAAACTTTGGATTGCAACTCAGTATGGTTTTTTCAAAAAGCAAAGTTTTCATTGTACTATTTTAAGTTCCTTTAGAAAAAGTTTATAACTCAAATGAATCATTTTCATTGTGTTGTGTTCTTTGAATTCAATAGTTTAATAATAAATTTGACCAATCACAAACATGAACCCCAAAAAATAAATCGAATGAACAGTTACAAAGTGTCTAAAAAGTTTACTTCTCAGATAGTTAGTCAGTCAATCAGTAACAATGTTGAACTTCATACGTACGTACATCAGTTCGAGTTGTCATACCGTATTAACACAGAGATGTAGTTGTCTATGAAAATCATATAGTGAATTTACCATAAATATCACTACTTACTCACTTACGCCTGTTACTCCTCGTGAAGGAGCATAGACCGCTCAACAGCATTCTCTATCCAACCCTGTCCTGGGCAAACCTTTACAGCTCCTTCCAGTTGCTACTCGTCCTTTTCACATCTACTTCGATTTCCCGAAGTAATGTGTTCTTCGGCCTTCCACTTTTCCGCTTCCCTTCACCATTCCAAGTTAGGGCTTGCCTCATGATGTAGTTTGATGATTTGCGTAATGTATGTCCTATCCATTTCCATCGTCGTTTCTTAATTTCTTCTTCAACTGGAAGCTGATTTTTTCGCTCCCACAGAAGGCTGTTACTGATGGTATCTGGCCAACGGATGTTGAGTATCTTGCGTAGACAACTAATTATAAATACTTGTACTTTCTTGATGATGGTTGTAGTAAATCTTCAATTTTCAACTTCATACATTAGGACTGTCTTGACGTTCGTATTGAAGATTGTGACTTTGATATTGGTTGAAAGTTGTTTTCAATTCCATATGTTCTTTAATTGTATGAATGCTACCCTTCCTTTGTCAATCCTCATTGCAAATATTCATATTCAAACATGGTAATACAATTTTCAAAATTATTATTTTTCATTAAAATGGAAATTGTTGTTTTATCATAGATAAAACATTCTACACCTTTAATAAAATACAGCCATTATCATTATTATTCAATGAGATAATCGTTTTTTTAATAATATTTATCATTCCACCTATTCATATATATTTGCATAACATTATTATGTCATACGTTTCGATAAGACTTTATTCCCATATAATAAGTTATTTATGAAAAAGTTATTTTTTTAAAATATTTATTCAAACTACTTAAAATTTAACAAATAAACATGGTTAGTAATATTTGCTTAGTAATTGTTGTTTTTGTTTGTATTTATGTGTGTGTGTATTTTATTTGTTACAGATACTTATTTTGTACCCAAAATAATTGATAAAATTGATCAAATTGGAGTACGTTATGGACATAATGCAAATTTAACTTGTCGTGCAGCAGGAAATCCTACTACAACTACTAGATGGCTTACTGATGGTGAACGACCTATAACAGATTTTACTGAAGGTACTTCAACATTATATCTAGCAGATATAACCGAACCTGCAAGATATATTTGTGAAGCAAATAATAGTTTAGGAACTGTACAACATCCTGTTAGAATTCAAATAATCGGTAAGTAATGTTTATATAATTTAGTTTAAAGTCAAATTTATCTCAATAAGAATAATTAATGTTATCTTTACTGTATATTAAATTTATTAGTTCTGTGTATTCACCATAAAAGTTTTAAGATATTTTACTAACAATGCTCATAGGTGGATACAACCATTTCTTATATATCTTCTGTTGAAAAGTCCAAAATATTTCAATGTATAACAACAGTTTCAGCAGTTTACCTGTCAGATATTTTCCAGGTAAGGACTTTTCTTTTACTTGAGACCATTAAATGTTGGAAGAATCAATCCCTATGATTTGAATGCATTGTCTTTTGCAATGAAATGATAGTTAACTTAAATACCTAATTTATACAAACAATTCACCATTTACATACTGTTATTGGTTATACGTAATAAAATGTACTTAATAACTTATATGATATAATCAAAATGAACATTGAAGTGTATTATTCTGAAGTTTAAATTTGTAAATTTACAGAATCCATTCATTTGAATCAACCTTTTTGGAACAAAAACTACATCTGTATAATGAATAAAGGATTTCTGTAGTTTAATGTTTTAAACGAACGGTGAACTTTTCTTTTAATTGATGAGTTAAAATGTGTACATTTACTGAGAACTTGATAATCTTTAAATGTTAATATAAAGAAATTAAGTAGATTGCATGTAGTTAGGTAGGATGTATGATTTGTTTCAAAAACCTAGAATAATCCGAGAGCTTAATATTCACTTCACTCCCTTGACTGCAGTTTATAATCAGTAGATGAAAACCAACTCATTCCAAAAGACTCGATTATGTGAAAACCATGAATCAAAAAAAGTATTTTAACAGCACTAAATGTCCATTCTAATTAAACATTATTTTTCAGTCGTAATAAAACAATAGGTAGACTTTAGATAATCACTTTCTCAAAACTGTGACATTCAGAATTCGAAGTACTTGTTGACAACAAAGTTATATTGCCGTATAATCTCGAGTGGTTTTTACTTTTACATGAAGCAAAAGTTGTTGTTGGCTGGACTGGGAGCAGAATTAAAGTCATAAGATCTTCAATTATAAATTATCAGTTCTTCTGTTCTTTATTACAGGGTATCATTCCACTTTCTTCAAATTAATAATTCATTAAATGATCTGTTTCGGCAGCTGCCTTATATTCGGAGAAATCTATAACACTTTGATGTAAGCGTCTGACCAGTTAATCTAGTTACATAGTTGATTTAAATTACAACATACCCTTTGCAAATAAATTTGGATACAGTGTCAAAAAATATTTTTTATATTTTTATAACCAAGTCCCGTCTATTCTATTTTCTTAACCATTTGATCAACATCAAAATGGGAGCTAAATTCCTTGATAATCATGTAATTAACTTAATTCATTTGATAGTAAGCCCAGTATATAAAGTATGTTCTTTTGTTATTGTTTGATAAGACATATTTTGATGTCATATCTAAAAGCCAGTAACTAAAATTTAGAAATATGCTTATGGCACGTCTGTATAATTTACATACGTGATGAATGAGAAAACATTTCTTAAAAATGTTTTAAGTAAATTCCCTTTTCACAGAGAAGCTTAATATTTAATCTGCCTAAGTTTAGCAATCGTTAGCAACCTATTGTCGAATAATATTCAAAGGTTGTTTGGATTTTCTCAATGATGATTAGGCATGCTGGTACATCCAGCTAACGAGTTCCAAGTATGAAGAAACGCGTGTTCTAGATTCCACTGCTAGCCTTGATTCATCTCTGCTGATAATGTTAATTAAAACGTCTATTTTTATAAGTATACGTTTCTATAGATATGTATGATTAAAGCCCAGAAGTGAACTGCCCGTAATACTAATATAATGAATGCTGATCAGTAATTTACCACGGTTATAAATAAAGAAATCCAATATATATATATATATATATATATATATATATATATATATATATATATATATATATAGGAAGCGTAAAAATAAGCTGAACACTATATAATATAACAAGAAAATTGATTCAAACAAAAAAACACGTTAAACGGAACATGAATAAATGAGGGACCAATAAATTGATTTTGTGAACATAACCTCAATTTAGAATTTTGAGTGGCTTTTATGGCTCTGTAATCTGACTCCGTTTTGTGTGAACGAATGAATATGCTATGAACATAAATCTTCTATTTAACCACGTATATTACCTAGGCTAACCACGTTTGTGTGATGGTAGTAATAAGAAGCCATATATAGGTTGTGTTTAATGAGGCCACTTCAAGCACAGACATTTTAGATGGAAAATGAGAAAGCGAAGAGAAATGGAGAAGGTATGCAAGTCGACTCATTATAACAAAGCGTGAATTAATAATTATAGCCATACAAAAACAAATCAAAAATATGTGATGAATAGGGTTAGCCATAAACACATTCATTCACTTTCTACTGTGCTTTCCTCTCTCATGCATGTGGATTTTATCAATTAATAACAATAAAATCTCCCAACAACCGGCGTTCTGCTTTTTCAGTATTCACAAATAAATTGATAGTAGGAGAATTGACCAGCTAAAATACCCAATTAACGGGACATCGAATGGAGAGGAATCAACCTCTATGGGCAAAAGTCAGAATAAAATCCCAAGAAGTTATGATGATGAACAGGTTATGGAAAGTCAAACGGAGTGAGTTCAACTTAGAAACCATTGAAAATCAGGAAGGACTAGAACAATTGTATCGTTCTATAATGGAACCCTACAAAAGTGCCCATTTGAAGAAGAGATTATTTTACCATATTTTAGATCAAGAAATTTGATGCACATTGACAGTGAAAATTATGTGATTGTCATTAGTTGTGCTAATATGGCTACTTTAAGGACACATAATATGGTATGATTCAACGTCAGTCAAATTAAAATACGCTAATACAGGACTATCTCCATATTTTTAAAACCGAACCAAGAATTTCAAAAATATCACGATATGAATCTGCAAGATATACCTAGAAATGAGTACGGAATACAAATTCTAACGAAATTAGTTTAGATACGCTGTTAAAACTATTGACGATTTATTCAATATATATATTTGTACACGAGGTATTTAATGGTAGTTTTTATCGCTGGCTAACTACACTTCATAAACTATTCAGATCAACTCAGCATTAGAAAGTTGTTTCATTGTATCCTGGGACTCCTCAAAATTTTATGTCAATAATCCTATCAAAGATCAATGGTGGAAAACAGTTCCCTCGAGATCAATACTTGAAATGATTGTGGATAGTTAAAAAATGTTGGAAAAAGAAACATTTATCACCAATAACACTTACAGATCTTCTTGTTATACTGAAAACTGGCTAAATTAAGAAACAATTATCATTATACTGGACATTAATGGTACTGAACCAACGGAAATGAAACTAGACAGAAATATTCTGGGTTTTTTCTAATATCTAATGTAGTATTGATTACTCCCTGACTTTCACCCAATATTATTAATATCTTTCATATGATCAATGAATATCGATATTCATTTCTAAATCAGTTGAGATCCTAAATCACATACTTTAATTATAAATTTCAATTACAAATTCTTCAAATAAGTTAATGATAAATAATTAGGTAATAATAATTCAATTCAATCAACCAACCGAAGACCCTGGGTTCAAATCCCTCTAGGAGGGATGGTGGATGCGCACTGCTGAGGAGTCCCACAATAGAACGAATCGGCCATCTAGTGCTTCCAAGTTTTTAATGGTGGTCTAACATCAATCGGTTCATGATCTCGATCAAAAACAAACAAACAAAAAATTAGATAAACATTTCATGAAAAAGAAAGATTAATAATAAACAAATAAAACATTTCGTGGATTAGTTGAAGTCAGACATTAACACCGTTGGATGCCGGCTCAGTAGTCTAGTTGGGTAAGCGCCTGGAGCGAGAGTGCTAGGTCCTGGGTTCAAATCTCATGAGGCAGGGTCGTAGATGCGCACTGCTGAGAAGTCCCACAGTAGGACGAAACGGACGTCCAGTGATTCCAGATTTTCCATGGTGGTCTAGCTTCAATTGACTCATGATCTCAACTATTGAAATAAAAAATATTTGAACTAATGTCAAATATCAAAAATGTTATTCTTTTTTTCGAATATAGAAAAAAAAACACAAAGAAACCCAATTTTTCTTTCTTGTTATTGAATTCTATTATTTCTATATAATTCTCTTATTAATTTTTAAAACAGTTAGATAAGTGAACATTTTAATATAAACAGATTAGTTATGGTTAAATGAACTAGATTTTATTGAATAGATTTTCTTTTAAAACTAAAAAAACAACGAGAAAACAAACAAATAAGATTTCACTAAGCAGAATGAAATCTAAATTGATTTATTTTGAAGCTTCTATTCTATTTAAGTCTAGTTGATTAAATTTCGATAATGAAAAAGGATAAAACAACAACAACAAATTAACACTAAAATGGAGAGCCAATGAAAATTAGGAAGCGTATTTATATTTATATATATTTCACTGATTGAAATCATGAGTCAATTGAAACTACACCAACATGGAAAATCTGGAAGCACTGGATGGCCGTTTCGTCCTAGTGTAAAGCTCCTCAGCAGTGCTCGTTCACGATCCCGTACCCCACGAGATCCGAACACAGGACCTATCAGTCTCGCGCCAGGCGCTTAACCAACTAGACCAGTGAGCTGACAGGCATCCAATGGTGTTAATGTCTAACTTCAACTAATCCATGAAGTTGCGCCACCGTACAACATTGTCTTCAGTGAGCTGATATCTCACAATAGACCTGGTTGAACTCCACTGGTAACGTTATCTTACTAGAACTCCAGGAATATCTCTTGAAGTCAGTCACTAGTGAGTAGATGATTATTATCAGAATGGGTTTTGTGGATATTTTATAAATTTCACTGACTGAAATCATGAGTCAATTGAAGCTAGACCACCATTGAAAATCTGGAAGCACTGGACGGCCGTTTCGTCTGAGAGTACTAAATCTATTGGAATATAATGTTATGATTCATATCTTTATTTATTGTCAAGTTTTTATATAGTTCAGTAAAAATTTTGTTTCAGATTAGAAGAAAATCTCTAATCGATCATTTTTTAATCATAATTACTATTGATTAGGTAATAGATAGATTTTAATAGAGATTTTCTTGAGTCTCAGTAAAAAGTTTAATAAGAAAGTGTTATAACTTGTGGTTTTGTACCCTATTAACATATTATGTGATGATATCGTCAATTAGAGAACAGTGACTTATGGACTAGAGCAGTGACGCGTAAACCTGTAGGAGCAGTCTAGAGTATTTATCGGTTCTTCTTCCTGTCTAACCTTGTCTTTTGAGTCCAGAACACCAATCTCAGCCTCCGTGATATGAATCATGTATTTCAAACATACTAGGCTTATATAAAAATCAAACAGCCTGCATCGTACCATAAAATAGAAAATAAAATTTGTACAAAATCTAGTTCAAAGTGGCTGTGAATGTAGGAAGTAGTAATTAATAGACTGAGCATAACTTAACAACGGTAAATCGTATAATAATAATATATAGGTCAAAATAAGGCTTATGAAAAGAGGAACATGAATAGGCATAGTTCAGCTACTTAACGGTTACACAACAAAATATATGTATCATACTGATCCATAAATATTTCTCAAAAGCTACCATTCATAATTCTTATCTGGATATAGCATAAAGAAGTAGTATTCTACGACCGAGTAGATTGTAATGGATTGAATACAACGGGATTGTTACAAAACATGAAGTTGTTTAGTTCAATACTGTGTAAAACTGGATACGTACACTACAGAAGTACTCTTTAAAAACAACTGGTTTACATCAGTTCTCCATAAGATTATGGATCGTGGTATTAGATAAGCTCATATAATGATAAATCGCTCTAAAACAAATCTTTAAACATTCATAGTTGACTAACATAAATTTTTTTTTAAATGTCATTCTAAATTGAACAACAGTGGTTTTATCATTTGTTAGATCTTTTTCGAATTCCTTTATTCTTCTACTTTTGTTGTTCATACTTACTATTTTTCGCTTGTTCCTCTTACTTTATTAAACAGCTGACTCAAAAAATTCAGTATGTAATTCATTCTTTCTCCACTTCGTTTTGTAATCGATTATCTCTACTTCTGATCTAGTAGATTTTCATCGAAATTAAGCAGTTTCACACTAAAAGCACATATAATATTCAGCAATGGTCTATTTAAAATCTGTCGACTAAACTAACGTTATATAATCATTCGCGGAAGTTAATAAGTGACATTTAAGTTTATTGTAGATAATTTTATCACAATACTATCAGATATTATTTTTTGATCTGTAGTTATCAAAACTGAACATACGGACAAAATCAGTAATTAGTATCTCATCTTTCCAATGGATATTTAATTAACTATATTTACAAAAATGGTCAACTGTCAATAGAGTAAAATCAGCTTACTTCACCTAAAGTTGTGTGTTCTTAAACTGAAATTCGCTTTCATATTTAGTATGTACTTCAGTAGATTAATGTGTTAAACAACTATGCAAATCATTCTATAAATCTTTATCATTAGAATTACAACTTTTTTCTGTTTAACTTACAGAAGTTCCTCCACCGCCTATCGATTTAATGTGTTTAGAAAAAGGGCCAACATTTGCTTTTCTCCAATGGTCACCAGCTAAACAATCAGCTGATATTCAACAAACCACTACGACTACTACACGTACTGTTGATTCATATACAGTATTTTTATATGAAATGGAGAATGGACAAACAATCACAAATAAAAAACAATTAACAGATATTCCAGCAAGACAATTTCACCTACACGGTGCATTACAATATAAATTAACTGATTTAAAACCATATACAATGTATATGGTAGAGGTTTGTGCTGTCAGTAATCTATTGGGAATGTCTGACCCAAGTAATAAAGTAACTTTTATAACGAAAGAATTGCGTAAGTCTTCCTTCTGTTTTTACTTCGTCGTTGTTTTTTGTTTTAAAATCTCGTTTTAAATCAAAATTCTAAACACGAATTACATTACCTCATAACTGATTGCACTATATTGTCTATTTTAATAATAATAATAAGGATTCGTTTTAACCTGAACATGGTTGTCTATCTAGAGTATTCCTACCGTGTGAAAGCAAAGACTGATAGTGCTGTTCAAAATGACAATAAAAACGTCGTATATGGTCTATGACAATGTTTTTTGTGACTTAAGTTAGTTCCATATAAAAGTATGAAAACTATAAATCACAATGTTAGGTTGATCCGTACCTGTATCTGTGATTAGTTCTAAACTTTAAACACAAGTGATAAGCTAGATGATCTCACACCTAAATATGTCTGAGATCCACCTGAATTTTATAGATCTTTTACAAGGATATTATGGGAACTTTATATACACAGTTACTTTTGAGAGATATACTACGTAATACCGTTATACCTATCCTCTGGAATCTCTGGAATTGATGTAACTAACCATATCATTACTTTCATGACTTAATATTTGATTATTTTTGCAACGAATTTGGTTTAAATTACAATAACTGATGGGAAAAAAGTTGTCCAATAAACATTTATCCTCACTAGTTTTTGTTTTGTAGTCTAATGATTATAGGAAATAATAAGAAAGAAAGGGGTGTATTTTCTTATTATTATTCATCATACTATATTCGTTGACCCATCTAAAATACTTTAGATAAGATAATGTCATTCATTACATTTTCAATGTTTTTCATTTATATTTGACCTTAACAAATATGAATAATTAATTGCTCAGAGGAATTTTTCGGTATTCAAAATGTTACTAATTAATTATGAATATCTTGATGAAAATGATTATTATTACTTCTTTGTTTTTAATGGAAACATCTATACTGTCAGTCATTTCGTCTAAGAGTTAATTATAAGTATGTATATGAATATATAGTGGATTATAAAAATGAAGGAAATAAACTTTACTTTTTTTTTCTTATTACCAAAGTTATAAACAATGGCTTCATTTCAATAGTAGAATACAATCTTATGAATAACAGGAAATGATGAAATAATCTTAATAAATATTAAACTAAATTCAATAAATTTATTACTTAAAATTAGTTAATTGTAAAAATTGGCAACGGAAGTCAATAAAACTAGAGAAAATGTAAGGAGAAAATGAGAAAGCAACTTTTTGGATATATATAGATTACACTTCACTAATGAACTGTTGGACTTTACAATAGATGTAATTATAATCCTTATGAGAAAAATGAGAAAAGTCACGATAAAACATAAGTTTTATCTGATAGAATAATAAGCTTACTTATTATCGGTATTCATTTAGATTATATTAACTGAAATACTTATTTGTTGGGGATTACCATACAAGTTAGTTTCACTGGATGATCACTCACACGGTCATGTTCAGTAATATACCTTTGACTGCAATAATGTGTGGTGTTACCAATACTTACTTTTAGATCACCAAAATATGTACACATGTTATTTTTAACAAGTTTAGTAAATAGTTAAAAGAAATTAGATTAAGAAAAGACTACTCAGTCATTTTTCTGATCTCTAAAAATCACAATACCAAGATTGTAAACATGTAATCCTTAACACTTACAAAGTCCTTATGTGAATACTCAGGCTACTACCCATTGCATTCATTGTCATTCTTATAGGCTTATTAAAACATTTATACTAATCCCATTTTCTTAAATTTTTCACAAGCAAATGTTTTACAAATGGTTGGATCAGTAGTAAAGGTGTTACATCAAAAACCAGGTCACCTCTGCAAATGAAACGATCCGATGAATCGTAATAAACTAGTTTCTTTACTAATTTATTTAGAATTTGAAAGAAGCTTTAAATTAGAGGAAATGAAACATTTGTAAAATGATGCCTTAATTATCTTTTTTTGTTAACGTAAGTCAATAATTAAATCACCTTATATATCTAGTACAATAATCAATGAAATTGCATAGAAAGAAATTACTAATCGATTGTTATTTTTCACTCAAATTAAATTTGCTAAATCTAATAATTATGAGACTAATATTTGAACGAAGAATATTCCTTTCGATGAAATTCTCTTCAGATTCTACAGTTATACATCCAAATTAATAATCCGAAAAATGACCAGGTTAAGGGTGAAGAGAATCGTTTAGACCATGTGAATTTAGGATTGTCAAACAAATTATAATGAAATTGTTAATGCTGATATGACTTAAATGGAATGTTAACTTGAATCTGCATATATGTTAAATGAGATTTAAGATCCATGATCAAAATAAATAAAGGTCAGGTCTGGTGATAGAAATAATAATGCAACTACAATTCCATCAAATGTTTAATGAAACGCTATATTGTGTGAAAAATTAATAAGACATAATAAGGAATAATGAATGGGAAGTGAATGAATCCTGTATTGGTGAGATTAACAATGATGTTTAACCAATAGTAATAATAATAATACAAAGAATACAATGAATAAAGATAACAGAGCATATTACATTTGACTACGAAATGTCGTAAGTACGATAGTCGAATTAGGTCATTCAATAGTTAATATCACTATTGATTAATTGGCCTTGAGATGGGCCAGGGGAGGAGGAGTGGTTGAAAACATTTCTTTTGTATTCATAGCTCCAGTTTCTTCATCCGGATGGCTACTGCTTTAGTCGTTTGAAGGACTTTTGAGTCTGACATGTTTTGGCAAAATTTGCTGACCCTAAAAATAACTGAAAAGGATTGGTTTATACTAACAGTATGACCAGTTTTTTCTAAATGGGCCAATATCCAGCCGTTCACTTTTTTCATCAAACATTTGTTAAGCCACACTGGGGGGGGTGTTCGCGAGCACAAAATGCCGGTCATTTTCCGAATTAATAATACGGATGTATAATTGCAGAACTTGAAGAGAATTTATCAAAAAGAATAGTCTTCGTTCAAATATTAGTCTTTTAATATGATGAGGATTTTTAAACGATAATGGTTATAACACCAAGTGATAAATTTATAGATTCAAAACATATTTCTAATATCAGAAGGGGTTTTGTGGAGATTTTAGTAATTTTATAGTTGAACTCATTAGTCCATTGAAGCTAGACCATCATGGAAGACGTGGAGGCATTAGACGGCCGTTTTGTCCTAGTATGAGACTCCTTCTGATAATAATAATCGTATGCTCACTAGTATCTGGCTTCATGAGGTATTTTTAGCGAGAAGCAGTGACAAGTGGAGCTCATCCAGGTCTGTTTTAAGTTAATAATTCACTGAAGACAATTGTGGACGGTGGCTCAATTTCATGCCTTAGTTGAACTTAGACATTAACACCAATGGATGCCTGCCAGCTCAATGGTCTAGACAATAAGCGTTTGAGCGCGAGATCAATTGATCCTGGGTTTGAATCTCGTGAGGCAGGATCGTAGATGCACACTGCTGAGGAGTCTCATACGGGGACGAAACAGCCGTCCAGTGCTTCCAGGTTTTCCATGATGATCTATCTTCAATTGACTCATGAATTGGACTATAACATTTCTAATATCCACATAAAACCAGTATAAACAATTGATATTGTTTAACCTTTCTAAAAACCTGATTTATATGTGGATTTATATATAATTTGAAAAAAATAGCTGTCATAGTACCATAGGCAACTTTTTTTTTATTCAACTATAAAAAAACTTATTACAAATTGTAGTGTATTTAATCTAATTGGTTCTTCCTTTTTTAAACTGTCAGTCAAATAAATTATTCTCACTTCATTGGATATTCATTCCACATGGTCTTCTAATTATTGACAGAAAACTAGTCACGGAACAACTGTTTTTTATTATATTTTTAAGATTGGATTGTTAGATGAATTCTTTTGGCAAAATAAACCGGTTTATTCAATCATTTCAAGAAGATATGTATTCCGTTATTTTGTAGTTTGATTGGCTGTTGTATAGTTCTAATGAATTCTAGATTTGGTTGTAGGAATGAATGAAGTAGACTAGAAAGTTTATAGTTAAGATGATGAATAAAAATGTAGGGATATAGTTTACAGGAACATCCTACATTTTACAGCGGGAAATATCCATTAGATTAGTGTAAGACCTAGGTATTTTCTAACTAGACATTATATATTGATAAATATTTGTTAGTGTAAAGGGTTGTAGAGATTATTGAATTTTTAGGTTTACTTCACTTAGGACTAAACATCATTTTTCCAATCTTTAATGGTCTTCACAAGCTTATTCCTGGTTTTCAACCATAAAAAGGGATTCTGTTTTCAATCAGTTTTTCTATACGCATATGTTAATTCATAGATATCTCGTCATGGTCTTGATTACCAGAAATACTATTTCTTCGACATCTTATGACGTAACTACTTTTCTGAATATTTATATTCAATAAAATATACTACTTTTGAATAAGTTGTCAGATAAAGTATACTGTATATGTCACTGATGAAAAAAAAATGTACAAACAGTAATGTCTATATATTATGAATGCTAAGGAATTCATTAGTACACAAATTTTACTTCATCATAATTAACCACTTAGTTAACCTTTTCTTCTTACTTTATATTAAATGATAACTAAGAATAATCAAATTATAAAACTTATTAAGAGAAACTTATGTTATTGTTTGTTTTATTATCAATAATAGGAAACACAAAGTGACCATATTACTAAACTATTTTTTTCCTCTGACGTTTATACTCTAATAATCAACCCATTCCTATATCTAATTGATAAATAAATTTACAAACATACAATTCTACTACATTTTTCTTTCCACTAAAACACATTACTAATTTATACTTATACTCAATCAACTGAGTTGATGGACAATTAGAACATTAAAATCGATTTCCATTATAGGCATAGCCATTGTTTTTTTAATATTTTTATATTTATACCGTATATATATATATACAGTAAACTCGTAATATTAGTAAATTGAATCCTGTAAATGG